TATATAAATATATATATATATTCAACCAAATATGTTAACCAAATATATTCTGATATTGAGCGCTTTTCTAATAAGTACCGCATATATATAATATATATATATATACATAAAATAAATAGACAACACTTGTCTATATTATTTAATGAAACGTGTATGAATATATATACATATACATATATATATATGTATATATACATACATACATACATATACATACATACATACATACATACATACATATATATATATATATATATATATATATATATAGTAATGATACAATATGGTAATCTGTTTGGAATTTCAAGGTGGATATAGATCCAGGGAGAGCTCTATGTCAAAAGACAGAGCAAAATTATTATTAATTAAAGAATATCAAACACTTAAAATCCCCTAGAAGGTTAAATAAATACTCCTGGTTTTTATATTTAATTATAAGTATTTTCTCCAACAGACAAAGGTTACAATTGTCCCTGAATTTCTTCAGAGTTTGAGTTCTAGTTAGGAATTTCCACTCCAATCATCATAATTTCACTTCATCAAAAGTGAAACTTCCAATAAGATCCCAATAATGTCTTGATAAAGCTGTTTTGAGAAACCTATTGCTGAAGGTATATATATATATATATATATGCATTTCATTGAATACAACAGAAAAGGTGCTTTTATTTAGTTTATTTTTGTACAATTTCTCATGCGATCTAATAATTTTTTTCTTTTTGGATGATAAATTATATAAAAACTGTCCGAATGTTCTTTTTATCCGAACACTTTTGGCTATACATTTAGCCATTTTCAAGGATTACATATTTCAACTGTTAAATAAGAAATAGTTTGTTGTATGAATGCTTTATAAAATGTTTTCATTTTTCAAAACACAGTTAAAATATTGTGTCCATGTTCAAAGTTAAGATTATTAAGTGTTGGTTTTTTGTTTTTATTAAGACTCCCATTATTTTTAGCCTTTTTTTGAATGTAGATGATGCTATTATATTAGTGTTGTCAACAAGTATGTTATGAATAGTGTCCGGTAGTTTGAACATGTTCACAAGATCTTGACCGTGTTTTGAAAAATAATCACTACAAAAATAACCATTTTGTTTCAACACTTCTGGTGTCTTATCAAGTGATGAACACCATCACTTGATAAGACACCAGAAGTGTTGAAGCAAAATGGCTTTTTGTAGTTATTTTATAACAATTTATGTTATAATTTTCAAATAAATAATTATATTTGCTCTACTCTGTATTGAGCACTCTTTTAGGAATAGTATTTTTTGGTTTATACACCAATCCTATACTTGGATATATATATATGTATGTATGTGTGTGTGTGTATCCAGTAGTGGCCATAATATAGGGAACGGAAACAACAAAGACAAATATGTGTATTTAAAAAAGTAATGCATGATTAGCAATGAAATCTTTACCGAATAAAAGATTAGGTGTAATGTATAAATATTATACAAAGTTACAAAAATTTACATAATAGTTTTTTTTTTTAAATAAAGATTAAATGGAACAAAGGAAATAAGCTACTTTCTGTCTGAGCCCAGCTGTCTTCAGCTCTTAAGGTTCTTAAATACTATTTAAAATATATATATATATATATATATATATATATATATATATATATATATATATACATACATACATACACATACTTGTATGTAGTTTTATTTATGGATATATAGAAAGATAGATAAAGCTAAAGAGATTTCTCATATTTTCCCACCCTTAAAAAAGCTTTCCATAATTAAGTTAAATTTTACTCTAAATTATATGGGCCAAATATTTAGTGAATTTTTATTGAATTTAATTTTATCTTTATTTTTTTAAATAACTAAAAAATTTTCATTTCAAAATTGAGGCTGGAGTGTCCTTAATGATAAGCAATGAATTGTATCTCTTTTATATATATATATATATATATATATATATATATATATATATATATGTGTGTGTGTGTGTGTGTGTGTGTGTTCATGTGTGTGAATGTCTGTTGCAGACTTGCTACAGGGTGCTGTGAACAATTCAGGCACGTTCTATCAATGTGGCTATAATTATTTATTCAAAAATTATAACATAAATATGTTATAAAATCACTACAAAAATAGCCATTTTATTTCAACACTTCTGGTGTCTTATCAAATGATGATGTTAAATGCAGCTCATTCTTCTGATAAGGTTTTCTGTTTGTAGAGTTAAATGGAAGAAATAATCCTGTTTGGTCATGGTGGGAATGTTCTTTAAACATAATCTGAAATTGGTTGTTGGTTATTGGAATATATATATATATATATATATATATATATATATATATATATATATATATATATCACTGTTTGCATGACTTGGAGTTTCATGTAAAACACAATCTTCAAGTGCTGAGTTAGCAGTGACCATTATGTAAACTGAATTTAAATAATATATCTGTTTACTGCAATACTAGCCTAACTTAGTATTATATATATTGGGATCATAGTTTTTAAAAACTATGTTCCTTTAAAAACATTTTAAAAAATTTTATTCAAAATGTTATTTCTCAAAACATTATATTTGGCAATTAAAATAACCAAGATTAGCATATGAATGCAAATGATTTGTATTTATTTATAATTACATTTTTATTTTATTTTATAGAAGTGCATCATCAATTATTTAATTAAAGGGAGTTTACTTAATCTTATTTAAAAAAATAGCAATAGTAAAAATTAAAAATTAATTATTAACAATAA